TAGTGCAGCCTGGCTAGTATGAAATCTATAGATGATAAGTGTTGAAGCTGGCCAATGAGTGTAGCCACACTATATAAAGAACTCTTACAACTCAACAATAAAAAAGGCAAATCAATGCAAAAAAAGGAAAAGGGTTTGAATAAACACTTCTGCAAAGAAGATGCCCAAATGGCCAAGAAGCTGGTGAAGATGCTCCATCTCACAGTTGTTAGGATATGCAAATCAAAACCACCAGGAGACACACTTCACTCCCACTCCAACTGCTGTCATAAAAAAGACAGTATCAAGTGTTGTTGAGGAAGTGGAGAGGTTGGAACCCTCATACACTGCTGGTGGGTTGCAGAGTGGTGCAGCTGCTTCATAAAACAGTTTGGCAGGTCCCCAAAACTTAAACATAGACTTACCATATGACTCAGCAGTTCCAGTCCTGGGTGTTTACCAAGTGATTGAAAACATATGTGCTTGCAAAAACTTGGACATGAATGTTCATAACAGCATTGTTTATGACAGCCAAAAAGTAGACCCAATCCGAAAGTCCATTAACTGAGGAGTGGATAAACCAAATGTGTGGTGCATAGATACAGTGGGACATTAAAACCAAGCAAACCAAACTTGTTGCTGTCAGGTTGATTCTGATTCATAGTGACTCCCTGGGTTACATAACAGTACTACCCTGTCAGGTTTCTGGGCTGTAATCTTTCAGGAAGCAAATTGCCAGGTTTTTCTTCCCTGGCATGGCTAGGGGGGTTCAAACTGCCAATCTTCAGGTTAGTCAAGTACAAGTTGTTTATGCCACCTGGAGACCTACTGGAATATTCCAAACCCAAACAAACCCACTGCCATCCAGTGATTCCAATTCGTAGCCACTCTGTAGAACAGAGTAGAACTGCCTGATAGGGTTTCTGAGGCTGCAAATCTTTGTGGAAGCAGCCTGCCTCATCTTTCTCCCACGGAGCAGCTGGTGGGTTCGAACCACTGATGTTTTGGTTAGCAGCTGAGTGCTTTAACCACTGCACCATAAGAGCTCCCTGTGGAATATTACTCAATCATAAAAAGAAAGAGAGCATTAATACATGCTGCAACAGACATGAACCTGGAAAGCACACCCAAAGTGAAGAAACCAGTCAGAAAAAGCCACATATCAGAGGGTTCTATTTTTTTTTTTTTAAATTTTATTTTGATTTGGGTGAAGATTTACAGAGTAAATTCACTTTTCATACAGCAGTTCACATATACTTTGTCTCATGTCATTGACCAAAATTTACAATGCAGCAGCTCCCCTCCCACTTCCTCCCCATAGTTACCTCCTCCCAGTGTCCATCCCTTCATACTCTTCTGCACCCTGAGCTATCTCCCTGTGCGTAAGCAGCCCTTCCTTCTCCCATGATTGTTCTCTCCAGGGCGTGTGTCTACTTGAGGTAAATGTTTAACTCACATGCCTGTACTTTGTTTGGCTGGAAACCACAGTTGTGGCTTCAATTCTAGACCTGCAGGGCAGCTAGGGGCCATAGTCTCAGTGGTTACACCAGGCTCTATTGGACCAGCAAACCTGGTCCCCACCTTCTTTTTTTTTGCCTCCAAATGATTTTGAGTTTTGTTCCACATTGTTCTCCCTCTCTATGCAGAATCTCCTACATCCCTTCCAAGTGGATGGCAGTGGTAGCTGGGCACCATCTAGTTCTTCTGGTCTCATAGTTGTATAGGTTGCAGATCGGATGGTGTACCAGTCGCTAGGACTGATTGTTTCCATTAATTTTGGTTTTCTTCTTTCTTCTTGACGAGGAGAGACCCGTTGTTGCATCTAGATGGCAGCTTCCTAGCTTTTAAGATCCCAGTTGCTACTCGCCAAAGTAGTAGGTGGAACAATGTTTTGTATAGTATGTTATGCCAATTGAGCTTGATGTCCCCTGCGACTATGGTCCCAAGCCCGCAGGATCAACTACTCGGTCAGAGGGTTCTATTTTAATGAGCTGTCCAGAATAGGCAAGTACTAACAGAAAGATGAGCGGTTGCCTGGGACTGGGGGGAGGGACAATGAGGAGTCAATGCTGTTGAAAGTGGAGTTGTCTTTAGGGAAAAATGTTCTGGAATTAAGACAGTGGTTATGGATGCAGACTCTGGATATACCAAAAACCACTGACTTATAGACTAAAAGGATGAACTTCATGTGATGGTAATTGTGTCTCAATAAAATCGTTATAAAAATAGGTAGAACATTTTACTGCAAAGGTCTGAAAATAATTTTGTTTTAAATTCAGCCAAACAGCAGGATATTTCAGAAATATGATGCTAAAAGAATAATAAGGACAGTGCCTCTGTATTTGGGTGAATTTGTGCATCTCTAAGAGCCCTAAGGAGTTCTGGTGGTGTAGTGCCTAAGGCATTTGACTGCTAACCAGAAGATTGGTGGTTCAAACCCACCAGCTGCTCTGCAGAAGGACTATGGAACAATCTACTTCCTAAAGACTTGTTGTTGTTGTTGTTATGTGCCGTCAAGTCGGACCCGACTCATAGTGGGCCCCTCCTTGGGTTTCCGAGGCAGTATCACTACGGAAGTGGTTGCCCAACCTTCCTTCCTTCCGAGGAGTGCCTTGTGGGTTTGAACCGCCAGCCTTCTGGTTAGCAGTCAAGTGCCTTAGGCACTACACCACCAGAGCTCCCCCCTAAAGACTTACCGCGTCAGAAACCCAGTGGAGGTCACTATGAGTTGGAATCTGCTTCATGGCAGTGGGTTTGGTTTTTTGTTTAAGGAGGCCCAAGGAGCTCTGGGGGTGTAGTGGTTAAGGCATTTGGCTGCTAATCAAAAGGTTAGTGGTTTGAACCCACCAGCAGCTCCACAGAAGAAAGTTGAGACAGTCTGTTTCCATATAGATTTACATCCTTGGGAGCCTAATGGAGGTTGATAGCAACCCAGTGGTGGTGGTGGGGTCGCTATGAGTCACAATCCACCCGAGTTTGGTTTTGTGCAAAATTGATTTTTGTGTTGTCTGTATGTGTCTCAGTATATTGATGTTTGCATATACTTAAAATGTATACATCAGTGAATCAAGATGTGTGTTCTTTTTTAAGGAGCCTTGGTGATGGTGTAACAGTTAAGCACTTGGCTGCTAACTGGAAGGTCAGCAGTTTGAACTCACCCAGCTGCTGTGTGGAAGAAAGACCTGGTAATGCTTCTGTCGAGATTACAGCAAAGAAAACCCTACCAGCCGATCTGGTCTGTCACATGGGGTGCCTATGAAGTGCAATCACACCTAAAATCAGAAGTGATTCGTGAATTCTCCAGGTGACGGCATGGAGGAGGGATAAAGGTGTGAGCATGAGGGAAGTTGTAAAAGAATCTGAGAAATCGTTCCTTCCTCCTTCTTCAGTATTTGAGTTTTACAGTGGTAGTAAGGAGCTTTGGTGGTGTGGTGGATAAGGCATTGGCTGCTAACCAGAAGGTCAGTGGTTCAAACCCACCAGCTGCTCTGGGGAAGGATGAGGGGGCGATCTACTTACGTAGATTTACAGCCTCTGAAACCCAATGCTAGTAGTTATTTGGGGTTGATATACTGTAATTCAACCACGCCACTATTGTCTCCGTGAACTTGGGTGAATTACTGCACTCTTCTAGATGTTAGTTCTTCAGTCCGTTAGTTCTGAGGATTGGAGCGGTTGTTCTTTAAGGTCCCTTCCACTTCAACTCCACAATTGGCTGATTTCAAAAATAACTAGTCGTTCAGTCGTGTTAACTGGGTCCAGGAGTAAGACATAAATCGAGTTGTTCAATTAACACATATTTGTTGTTGTTGTTGTTATGTGCCGCCGAGTAGGACCCGACTCATAGCGACCCCTCCTTGGGTTTCCGAGGCAGTATCACTACGGAAGTAGATTGCCCCATCTTCCTTCCGAGGAGTGGCTGGTGGGTTTGAACTGCCACCCTTCTGGTTAGCGGTCAAGTGCCTTAGGCACTATGCTACCAGAGCTCCCTAACACATATTTACCACACTTAATTCTTTATTACATTTTTTTTTTTTAAATTGTGTGTCAGTGGTTCTATGGAAACGCATCCTCCTTCGGTGTTCCTGGTTGTCAACGTCAGCTCCCCAGACAGAGGTCAATTTTTTCCCTAAGCTGCTCCTATGGGGCGGAGACAGAAACCAGGCAGCGCGTACAGGTTGCTATGGAGCCCAACGCGTTCCAAACCGGAAGTGGTTCCTTGAAAATGATTTTCCCAAGACACTTGCATTCGAAAACAATGCCATTCTCCCTGAAGTGAACGCAGAAGTGGAGCGACAGTGACCCTTTCGCTCTCAGCAGAGAGAACGATGCCCTCCTCCTCAGCGGGCAGCACCCACTTCCCGGCTGCCGAGGCGGAGCAGAACCAAGACGCGGGCGGCACCGGTTTCCGGGCGGGCGCGTCTAGCGACGGCCCGGCCTCCCGGAGGGGTTGCCGTGGAAACGGAGAGTGCTGGTTGGATGCTGCGACGAGCCGAGGCCGCGCCTTTGCTGTGTGTCTGCCGGTCGGGTTCACAGGACTGCCGCCAAGATGGTTAGTGGCCCTGAATGGCGAGGGAGGACGTGGAACAGGGGCCGGGAATCACAGGGTCCTAGGAGACTTCTGGGTTCTTCGGGGGGGTCGGTAGAGGGTGTGGCCCGGCCTTCCCAGCGTTCCCACGGGCACAGGGCTGCACTGTAAACACCTCGGTGCTTTTCTCCTTCCTGCCCTGCCCTCTTGCCCGAGCTGCAAGCGGGATGGACGGCAGACCGAGGGAAGCCTCAGACGACAGAAGCTGTGCGAAGGCAGCTCCTGCCCGTTTGTTGAGAGTAGCAGTTCGGTTCAGCTAAGGCACAGGGTGATGGTCTCTTTAGTAAAATAACGTGCTACCAGAAGACTTGGGATAAGCTCCCCTGGGGTTCATTACTGGGGACTTGGCAGGTACGTCCTGGAGCTGTCACGTCAGTTTAGAACGGATCACCGGAAGTGGGCCGGACCACTGCCCGTGTTGTTTCCTTCCCAGATGCTTTCCAGGGCCAAACCTGCCGTAGGCGGGGACCTGCCCCTCGCTGACAAAAGAAGGAGGAAGGGTCGGAAGATCCCAAAGCTAGAGGAGCTGCTTTCTCAGAGAGATTTCACTGGTGCTATCACCCTGCTGGAGGTAATGTCAAGGAGGGGTGCTGCTCGGGACGGGAGCCCCAGAGTGCAGTGTGAATGCATGGACCACTGCCGGGTGCCATGCTTTTGGAACAGCTGGCGTGTCCTGGGGCTTTGTCAAGGAACCCCTTGCGAATCTCGGATGCAACAATGAGTTCAAATGCAGCTGCGGTGGTCAGGATGCACAGGGCTGAGTTGTGTTATACACACACGTGGGGTTGCTGGGAGTTGGCGCTGATGCGTTGGCACCAAAGAGCAACTAGTGAATCAGGTGCACTTTCCAAGCTAACTACCCAACTGGTTGAGGGTGAATCAACATTATTTCTTGTAGAGTGTTTAGGATTGTGTCTAGAACAGCTGATGGAGGACCCAGCCTAAAAATACAGATAGACATTTAATACAGTGTCAGCTCACACGTTTTTTATTCCGACCCTGGACAGGTTTAAGATGTTTTTCTACTCTGTGTTACCAATTTTTGATCATATTGAAATAATTCTTCCACGCTTATTGTTTAACAAATTGTACCTGAGAAAATATTTCCAATCTCTGTGATGGCTGTTGTTGTTAATTGCTGTTGAGTTGTGTCCAATTCATAGTGACCCCATGCACAGCAGAACAAAATACCGGCCAGTCTGGGGCCAGCTCCATGATCCTTGCTATACTTGAGCCCATCACCGCAGTCACTGTGTCAATCCATCTTGTTGAGGGCTTTCCCCTCTTTTGTCGACCCTCCACCTTATCAAGCATGACATCCTTCTCCAGGGAATGGTCCCTTCTGACAACATGACCAAAGTAGGTGAGATGAAGTCCGGCCATTCTCGCTTCCAAGGACCATTCTGGCTGCACTTCCTCCAGGACAGATCTGTTAGTTCTCTTAGCAGTCCGTTGTATTCAGCATTCTTCGGCAGCACCACAGCTCAAAAGCATCAGTTCTTCAGTCTTCCTTATTCATTGTCCACCTTTCACATGCATATGAGGTGATTGAAAACACCCTGGCTTATGTCAGGCGCCCCCTAGTCCTCAAGGAGACATCCTTGCTCCTCAGCACTTGAACGAGGTCCCTTGCAGCCGACCTGCCCAAGGCTATATCTCTGTGGTAGTCATTCTCAACTTTTAATATATGCTGAAATCATTCAGGTTACTTGTTACGATGGATGTAGCTTGTTAGGCTCCTGCCCAAGGGATTCTTATTCCTCAGGTCTGTAGTGGTGCTCAGGAATCTACATTTTAAGTAGTTAAAGCATTTCAGCTGTTAACCAAAAGATCAGCGGTCCGAATCCACCAGCCACTTCATGGGAGAAAGACAAGGCAGTCTGTTTCCATAGAGACTCCGGCCTTAGAAACCCTGTAGGGAAGTTCCTCAAAGGAAGGGTCACTTTGAGTCCGAATTGATGGCAATGGTTTGGTTTTCCTTTTTTTGGTTGTATGCTTCCAAGGCCAGAGTCCAAGGAGACTGCACTTTGAGAAATTGCTTACAGAAAGGACATGTTAGCCACCAAACCAAACCCACTGCCAATGAGTTGCTCCTGACTCATAGTGACCCCAATTGGGTTTCCAAGCTGTAAATCTTCGCAGGACTCAATTGTCTCATTTTCCTTCCATGGAGTGGCTGGTGGGTTTGAGCCGCCAACCTTCTAGATAGATGTCAGATACCTTAGGCACTGTGCCACCAGAGCTCCTTTGGGACATGTTAGAGGAATGTTGAAAGGTGGACCAGACTTACTGGTCTGATAGAGACTGGTGAACGCCCTTTGACTGTGGCCCTTGGTCACCATTCAGCGCTGGAACTGAGCTCACGACTGTGGCTCGGCCTTCAGCCAACAGTGGACAGGCCTGTGAGCTGCACAGTGACAGCAGAGAGGTGTGCACTCCTTAGAACAACCAAGCACACGGGGTCAAAGGGGAGCGTTTGCCCAGGGGTCAAACTTGGGAGGCAGGAAGGGGCAGGGAAGAAGGGCGAATGGGAGCAGTAACTGCAGGGAGGAGGTGGGAGGAGAGCTGTCACGTGCTGGGGATTACAGTCAATGTCAGGAAACAAAACGCTCATGAACTGTTGAACGGAAGACCTGTTTGCTCTGTGAGCTTTACCCAGATCATGATAAAAAGTTAACACGCAAAGCGGAGGAAGTAGAAGTGTGCCAGCACGTTGCCGCGAGGTCGTGCCGTTGTTCCTGCGCACCCCTGCTCCGGCCGCGCTGCTCTCAGCTCCTGGAGCTACTCACTTGCATGCGTGGTGCTGTTTCTGACTCGTGCTCGTGGGTTAAACTCATGCTTCGTCTCCTCGGTGTCAGGTTTCTCATTTTCAAAGTGTGAGAGTTGACTTCTAAGGACCTGGTAGCTGTGTGCATTGGGGGGCTGAGTGCTGCGTAGATGCCTGGGGTTTGTCCATTTCTGTTTTTCTTCTGTGTTTCTTCAAGGCAGTGGCCACCTTTTCCTGGTGTTGTCCTAGACTGACTGAAGTGGCAGGGTGACTCTGCCCTGGGCTTACAGCCACAGTAGCCAGTGGGAGCACCAGGCTATGAAAGGGGACCGCTGTGGTCTGGGCTGAGCATGGCTCAGGAGCTTCCCGTGAACTTGGGGAGTTTCTGGGGCAGATTGAAGGAGCCCTTAGATCTGAACGTGTCCAGACTTAAGCCCCTGACTCAAATCCCTAGCATTCAGTGATAGAGGATTTGTCATGCGCTGTTGGCTACTGCCGTAGGGTTTTAACCCAGACGAGAAGCTTTCCCGGGGTGTCTTCTTGCTCTCGTGGGGGGCACGTGGACTTCTGCCGTGGTGCCCTGTGAGGCTGTGCAGCTCGCTGCTTGATTCCCACCCGTGCTGCTCCTGCCCCCGCGAGTGACAGCTCTCGGTCTGTGGCCGTTCACACTCCTCCCCCAGTCTCCTTTCCTCCCAAAGGGGCCTGGTGTTGAGCTGCAAGAGTTCCCACGTGTTTGTTCTGCGCATCCTCGCCTCTTGCAGGCCCTGGTGAGCTAGCTAGCCTGGTCAGGGGTCATCGCGTGTTTAGTGGCTTGTCCTCAGGGGAAGGCTGTAAGCTGGGATTCAATGTATGTGTGTGCGAGCAGGGCAGGACTGCAGGGTGAGGGTCAGGGCAGCAGAGTGTGCTGGGAGTGGGTGTGGGCTTTGGAGTCTGAGGTTAGTGTGCGTCTCCCTGCCGCCTCACCTGCCGCCGGGGTGGCCTTGAGTTCCTTACGTGATGTCTCAGACCTTCGCTCATTTAGCAGTACGTAGCTCACATGCTCTGTCTGCTCCTCACCTACCTGCCCTGTTACGAGGGTGCCCCTGCACACCTTCTAGAGTAAGGTAGGAGTAAATACAGAATAAGTGTGTGATCTTTCAGAATGGAAGTTTCTTTGATAATGACGCTCCGTCCTGGAGGTGCAGGCTTAATTGAAATGAGTATTGTTTTCTGTCCATTATTTATAATTTCTTATCCCTCAGCAGTCAGTTAGCATAGCAGTTTTAAAACCTGTTGCTGTTTTTAAAGAGTAATGGTATCAAACTTGTTTGTGAAACAATTCAGAGTGGTGTGTGACTCTCTTTCATGTGAAGTTCAAGCGTCACGTTGGGGAGGAGGAGCAGGACTCGAACCTGTGGATCGGATACTCGGCGTTTCATCTGGGTGACTACAGGAGAGCTCTGGAGGTGAGCGGGACACTCAGACGGGCGTCTGACAGCCCGATCGGCCTGTGTACCGCGATGACACGCTTGTGGCCAACTGCACACACTGCCCAAGGGAACAAAGAGGAAGTGAAAAGCCACCCCGGCCGCCTTCCCAGTCCTGCTCTCTGCGTTGCTTCCAACAGCTGTGGTGGTGGATTGCTTCCGGCGTCCTTGCCATAGGTCCAAGTATTTTGTTTGCGTTTTGTTTTTAAGTATATGCTAATGAAATTGTAGAACATGTTGACAGTAACATTTCTTAAGTAGATCTTCAGGAGAGGACGAAGGAGCCATTGAGAACAATTTTGTTGATGTAAAACCCACTGCTGTCCAGTCGATTCTGACTCACGGTGCTCCTAGAGGACAGAGAACTACCCCACAGGGCTCCCAAGGCTGTCAGTCTTTATGGAAACAAGCTGCCCCATCTTTCTCCTGTGGAGCGGCTGGTGATTTTTGAACCACCAAGCTTTGTTAGCAGCTGAGTGCTTTAACCACAGTGCTACCAGAGCTTCTTTTTTTTTTTTTTTTAGGTGAAGTGTATATAGTAAAGTTTGCCCTTTAACCTTTTTTTTAGCGTACAGCTTATTGTCGTTGACTATATGCTGCACAGCTATCACCACTGTCTCAGCAGACGCTCCTGGCCCCTCCCCCAGGCCCCTGCCCCCGCCTCTGATAGATTTCGGTCTCCTGCAGTTGCCCGTTGGTCATATTTCACATCTATGAGATTGTATAATGTTTGTCCTTTTCTGGCTGACGTGTGTCACTCAGCATGAGGTTTTCAAGGTTCATCCCTGTCATAGCATGTATGAGAATTTCATTTCTCTTTATGGCTAAAAAATCAACCATTTTAAGAAGAACTTTCTTAAGTCATCTCAAAAGGGGTTCATTTTTACTGTGCTTGGTTATTTCTAGGCATGGGGAAGATTGTATTATTCCTATATTTTTGCAGGTGTTAGTATTTTGGAAGTAACTTTTTCTTGGTCATTGTAAACCCTACCATGTACATTGATCAATCTGTAGGATTATGGATCCAAATCTCAGTGAAATTACAAATGCCCTGGGTCAAGCAATTTTTAATTCACCAATGAAACTGTTTAGACATTTTCTACCTGTTTTTACTCCCAAATTGCATCCTAAGGACAGTTGAAGCATCCTTTCAGGTACAGAACAGTGAGGGGCCATGTGATGATCCCCAAAGGTCAGGTTGGCCAGTCGCAGTGGGAAGTCACATTCTGGTATGAAAGAATGGCCCATCTATTGCTTTCCTGTCTCAACGAGATCACTGCTCGGTGTGTTTTTCAGGAATACGAAAATGCAACAAAAGAGGAAAACTGCAATCCTGAAGTCTGGGTGAACCTGGCCTGTACCTATTTCTTTCTGGGGATGTATAAGCAAGCTGAAGCAGCTGGATTTAAAGGTGAAACGGGGCCCTTTTAATATCTCATGTTCTTCATTCGTAGTAGGAGTTATTTTGGAGGTTTTAAAACAATTCATTACTAAGTGACATTAGAAAGCTTAAAAATCACTTTCTTCTCAGAGAATATTAGATTGGAACAAGTTTATGTTTAAAAAGAGAGTTAATCGCCCCCCCCCCACACACACACCTAAAGCTGCAGTAAAAAAGGCTGCACAGAGAAGGACGAGGACAAGGCCAAGGCCTCGTCTGAGGCCCCGTCGTGGTGGGGTCCCCATGCTGTGGACAGGACGTGGTGTAGTCGTTCAAGCTCTGTAGAGTTGCGTCCCCTGCTTCTGGGCAGGAAGCCTTGGAATTTCAGCCTGAGGAAGGCAACTTGTGCTTTCTTGTTAGTAGTCACCTTGGGAAAACTGTCCTCAAGTTTGCAAAGAAGAGTAGGGCCTGCAAGGGGGAACATGGGAGAAAAGATGAGGGATGATTAGAGTGTGAATCAAAGAAAATGTAAGGAATGTGGTCCAGGAAATGTGTGTCAGAAAAGTATGTCTCCCAGGGGAGAGGCCTTAGAGAATCAGTGGACATCGACGTACTTGGAAAATATTCCAGCTCAAATCCATGGGGAACGTGGGGCAGGAGGCCTTTCTTGACTTGTACGCACATTGTTTCCTGTGTGCTGGAGGTTTGTTAAGACAGTCACTCCATGTCATGTTTTTAACACCTTATCCCATTTTACCTACAACAGTGTTGATATGTCTGTCGAGGTTTCCAGCTCTCTTTCCGTATGTGTGTGTATGTGTGTGTGTGTGTGTGTGTGTACGCTGAAATGACATGTATTAGAACAGGGACGTATCAGGATGAGATGAGGGAGTTCTGGGGAGCCTCAGTGTCGTTTCAGTCCCACGAGGGACTGAGTGCGTCGCCTGTTGATGGCTTCAGTAGGCAGCTGAGTGAGCAGTCTCTGTTTTCTCTGTTTTTCTTTCAGCTCCAAAAAGCCGACTCCAGAACCGCCTGCTCTTCCACTTGGCTCACAAGGTACGGTGTTCACAGCTCGTGCTTTTTGCTTTGGAAATAGCTTCTCTTTCTTCCTTCTTATTTCCAACAGCAGCGGAAGATCATTAGCTTGAAATTCTTGCTGGTGGTATTTTCTAGAACAAGTGGAAGCGAGTTTTGATTTGATAGGCTTTCTCCCCCATCAGTGTTCTCTGTTCTCCTGATTTATCCAGAGGTGGCAGCTCTTGGTTTGTCTTAAGCAGCGATCATTTCAGGCGCCTGTGTCAGCTCTCCTGTTGTGTCCTGGGAAGCAGACTTACAGATTTCTGGACCTGACTTCTGGAAATAAGCATACACTTGAGAAGTTCACCTTTCGATCATCATCAAATGATATTTTACCTTTTTTTTTTTTTAAATTATAAAAAAGAAAATTACAGGGATTCTACTAAAAAATACAAACAAATAGGGAAAGAAACACCATCTGCTGTGAAGAGAATGCCTTCTCACCCTTGTGGCATGGAGTGCGTTCTTTGAGGTGAACTCTTTTTGTATATGTGTTTATCTCTTGCCTTTACAGACTGGGACTCTGCTGCATAGATGTGTTTTTTATATTCTGCTTTGTCTCACTTGTCTCGTACTATAAGCATGTTCCTGAGTCACTAAATAATCTCAAAGACACAATTTAAAAAATTGCTACACTCGATGGCAATGAGTTTGGTTTTTGGTTTTGGAACTTTTCATCACATACACGTGCCTTTATTTAATGTTTCCTCATTATTTAACTCTTAGATTGTTTCACAATTTTGAAATAAAAATGCTGTTCTGAACATCCTAGAAATGGAAGTACTGAGTTCATGGGTGGGAACAACTTGAGAGCTTTTCATTCATGTTGTTAAACTGTTTGATGGAAATTGTCTAAAATTGCTCACAGGCAGTATTTGAAAATATTAAGTTTTGGTTTTTAGAACTTGTGGGTTTGTCTCTCATTTTAGTTCCGTCAGTTTTTGCTTCGTACATTTTATTAGGTTGTTACTTAACGCGCACAGACTTAGAATTAACATTTATCGTTATTAAGTGTCCTTCTTCATCTTCAGACATTCTTCACTTGCAGTCGGCTTGGCCGTCTTGTGTAGCTACACTGGCTCTGTTTTGGGTGGTCTTCCCCTCTATTGCTCTTCCCATCCTTTTACTTCTAAGGAGTCTTGGTAGCGTGATGGTTAAGTGCTCAGCTGCTAACCAACTGGTCGATGGTTGAGCGTGTCAGCCACTCGTCGAGAGAAAGGTGTGGTTTCTGTAGATATTAGCTCATTGGAAGCCCTGTGGGGTAGTTCTGCCCTGCCCTCTGGGAACACTGTGGGTCAGAATCAACTCCAGCAGTGGGTACTTTCTACTTCCTGTCTCCCTGGGTTTAAACCGTCTCTTTGTAAACAGCATATAAATGACTTTTGTAGTTTTTACCCAATTAAAACATGGTTTCAATTCTAGTACTTCATCCCCTAACTCAATGTAGTTACTGATATGGTTGGCTGTGTAACTGCCATCTTACTGTTTGCTTCCTGTTGAACCCAGCTGGTCATGCCCCTTTCTCTCTCTTTTCTTGTTTCTTGTTATTGTTATGTACCATTGAGTTGGACCTGACTCATAGCGACCCCTCCTTGGGTTCCTGAGGCAGTATCACTTTGGAAGTAGATTGCCTAAACTTCCTTCCAAGGAGTGGCTGATGGATTTGAACTGCCAGCCTTGTGGTTAGCAGTGAAGTGCCTTAGACACTATGCTACTAGAGCTCCTTTTCTTGTCTTTAGGTTGATTGTTTTTTATTATTCCATGTTTCCCTTCCATTGGCTTGTTAGTTATGCATACTTATAAACATATTATTTTAGCAGTGACCCTGTTGTTTTTAGGTGCCATCGAGTCAGTTCTGACTCAGCGATGACCTAGCGAGTTGGTTCCAACTCAGCGTACAGCAGAACGAAACGCGGTGGGCCTTCCATCCTCACATTTGTGCTGTGTTTGAGCCCACTGTTGCAGTTACTATATCAATACGTGTCACTGATGCCCTTCCTCTTTTTCATTGATGCTCCACGTCACCAAACACAGTGTCCTTCTCCAGGGACTGGGCCCTCCTGACAACGTGCCTAAAGTACTGGAAACAGAGCCTTACTAGCCTTGCTTCTGAGGAGCATCTGGTTAGACTTCTTCTGAGACAGATTTGTTCATTACTCTGCCATTTATTTAATATTTAATATTCACTAGTACCCTAATTCAAAGGCATCAGTTCTTCTTCAGTCTTCCCTATTCATTGTCCAGCTTTCACGTGCATAGGAGGTGATTGAAAAGACCCTGGCTTGGGTCAGGTACATGTTAGTCTTTGCTTTTTAACACTTCAGAGAGATTTTTTGCAGCACATTTGCCCAGTGGACTGTTTTGGTAGATTTCTTGACTGCTGCTTCCATGGATATTGATTGTGGATCCAATAGAGTGAAATTTTTGACAACTTTAATATTTTCTTTGTTTATCATGATATTGCTTATTGGTCCGGTTGTGTCTTTTACTTGCTAAAGTTTAAAATTAATTACTGCTTATATATATTTCCAAGGAGCTCTGGGTAGCACAGTCCCTACGGCATTTGACTGCTGACCAGAATGTTGGTGGTTCAAACCCACCAGCTGCTCTATGAAGGAAGACTGGGCAATATACTTCTGTAAAGATTTACCACCTTGAAAACCTAAAGGCAGTCACTATGAGTTGGAATTGACTCAAGGGCAGTGAGGTGGTTTTTCTTTTTTCTTTTTTTTTTTTTGTACAAATTTCCAGATAATTCAAGGTCTAGGAGTACTACTATTACTACTACTACTCCTCACTGCCATCGAGTCAGATCCGACTCATTGAGACCCCTCCTTGGGTTTCCGAGGAGGTATCTCTACAGAAGTAGATTGCCCAACCTTCCTTCTGAGGAGTGGCTGGTGGGTTTGAACCACCAGTCTTCTGGTTAGCAGTCAAATGCCTTAGGCACTATGTCACCAGAGCTCCTATTTCTAGGACAGTGTACCAAATTTTAAACATGTAAACAGTAGGAGGCACCATACAGACCTTTGAATTTTTGGCTTTTCTTGAAAAGTTGGAAGATCTGAAAGCACTGAATTCACATTCCCATATCCAGCAACTGGTTGGAGCTGAGCACTGGACGCCACCTTTGGAAGGAGCAGGCTCCTCCCTTTGTCCTGGCCCTCTCAGCAGCATTTTAATTTGGAACCTCACTTCTGTGCTTTGCATTTTAACACCTTCTGATATTCCTTCTGACAGACGGTCCAGAGCTAATGGTTTTCCTGTTGTTGTGATTTAACTTGTTTCCAGCTTTCATGCCTAGGGAAATACTCATATTGAGAACCTGTTTTCTTGACAAAGTGTAAGCAGATAAGACTTGAACTAAACCTTCTCAAGCCAGAAGGTGTTTGGCAATTGCAAGCTGCACTCATCTGCCTTCCACATTGAGACAAGATTGAAATTATCTTATAAAAATTACCTCTGCCCTATCAGTGGTCAGACTGGGAGTCAGCTGCAGTGTTTATTTGTGTGTGTGTGTGTGTGTGTGTGAGGAGCTTTACTTTAAAATTTTCAGGTTGTAAGTCCATCTCTACACCAGGAGTGAGGGCTCCACATACATATTAAGGTCACCCTCAAAGAGAGTTCATGTGTTCTGACCCACATCCGGTCACCAGGGAGCTGCTACTTCAGAACCGCTGGGCACAGTCTGCACACGAGGCTGAACTCGGTCTCTTCCAGCCTCAGCAGCAGGGTGCAGTGACTGGAGAGTGGATGATAACACGTAGGACAGGGAACTAAAAACTGCCAGGTCACATCATGAGAAAACACTTTGGTCCCATGTTGCCTACGAAGGAGAAGGAAATGTAGGAACGCAGATAGAATGGTTTAACGGCTAAGAGTGGAGAGACATCGGAAGGGGTACCGTGTAAAGGCAGAAGCAGGGAAGCAGGGGCGGTGCAGTCGCCTGCAGTGGCTGTGACGGAGGCTTCCCAGGGCCAAGGCTGTGCCTACAGAGCCTCTTCTCCTCTCCCCAAAGAAGAGATGACGAGGAACCGAGGGAAGTAGGAGGGGGAGAGACACAAGGCAAGGGGTGGACCCTCTGAATGCAGGTGATGGTTTCTGTGAGTGTCCACGCCCAAGGAGCTGAATGTGTCTTTTTCTGTCTCACAATTTTAGTTTAATGATGAAAAGAAGCTGATGAACTTCCACCAGAACCTTCAGGACATCACGGAAGATCAGCTGAGCTTGGCCTCAATCCACTACATGCGCTCCCACTACCAAGAGGCCATCGACATATACAAGCGCATACTGCTGGATAACAGGTCTGCGTCCTCGGCCTCCTGCTCAGAGTCCTTTCACTGCATTCGGTTCTGCAGGGACTTGTCTGCCCAAGGTGCTGGTGTCACCTGAGACCTGAGGGTTCTGTTGAGACAAGAGCTGATGGGTCTGCATCATGGCTTCCTACCTTCCTTCTCACTGTTGCCCCTCTGAGGAGCCTGGTCAGACAGTTTTCCCTAATGGCCCCCTGTGGCGTTTTAACGCTGCAGGCATCCTGTACGCTTGTTTCTGTGCCGTATGTGTGTGTATCTGTGTTTCACACCTAAAATGGACAGTTGCTGCACCCCTCTCCAAGGACCAACTGCTGCCTCTTTGGGGGTGATGTTGCCCCTACGGAGGGTGAATGAGCCCATGTGCCACCTGTCAGTGTCGTTGGCACGGTGTAGGTGGCTGGCCAACAAAATTAAGAAGAAACCATCCTGAAGAATTACTGTTCCAGCTTTATGTCACAGACCACTTAGCCTTTCTCCTGCTACTCCCACTCTGTCCTCTACCTCCCTTCTCAGCCAAAATATTACAGTGATTAGATTTTGCCACTGTCTTCACAAGGCAAGTCCATGAGCCGTCCTCTTTGGTTTGCTATGCATCTGAGTCACTGAAAAACTCTTTGTAGTCCAGCCACATCACTGGAAGGAGACTTAGACTGTTAACCCTTCTCTCTTTGGCTTGCTAGGGAGTACCTTGCTCTCAATGTGTATGTGGCCCTGTGTTACTACAAGCTGGATTACTATGATGTGTCCCAGGAAGTCCTGGCTGTCTACCTTCAGCAGATCCCTGACAGTACCATCGCGCTCAACCTGAAGGCCTGTAATCATTTCCGCCTTTACAACGGCAAAGCAGCTGAGGTAGTGGTGTTTCATGTAGATTTTTTAAAAAAAGCTTTATCAGATTAAGGAACTTCCCTTCTTGGATTAGTTTGCTCAGGGTGTTTATAATGCTGAGGTGGAATTTGATCAATGTCATACATCAAGCACCTGTTGCAATGATTATAGTTTTCTCAATCTGTTATTGTGGCAAGTCAGTGAGATTATTTTCCATCATTAAATCAACTGTGCGTTGCCAGGTTAAAACCAACTTAGTTGTAGTGTAGTCTTCTTTTTACAGATCACAGGACTCACTTTACTAATAGTTTAAGATTTTTGTATCAATGCTTATCAGTGTTATCGTTCTGTAATTTTTGCTTTGTTTTGTTCTCACTCATAATCAGGTTTTAGTGCAGAGATTTTATTAGCCTTATTAAATGAATTGGGCAAGCCACTGTATGTTTCTGTTGTCTGGAAGTGTATATAAGATTGGCATGATTCCTTCCTTAAATATTTGGTGGAATTCACTAATGAAACAATCTAGGCTTAGAAGATTTTAAATTAGTAATTCAATTTCTTTAATGGTTATAGGACTAATTGATGTTTTCTACTTTTTCTTGTGTCATTTCTGGTAGGTTGTATTTTTATTTAGCAGTTAGACCATTTTATTTACATTTTTTTTGTAGTCTTTCAGAAAAAACAGCTTTTAGTTTCTTAATATTCTCTTTGATATAAATGTTTCACTTTTTATTAATTTTTTTACTCATCTAGTATTTTCTTCTGTTTCAGTTTACTTTGCTATAATTTTTTAAAGTCTTGAAATCAGATACTTATTACTTTTCAGCCTTTATTTTTTAAAATACCATCTGAAGTTACAAATTTTTCTTCCGTTGAATTAGTTGCATTATAAGTTTGAGTATCCAATATGACTTCCAATGTGAGTTCTCAGTTGGGTTCACTGGAAGTACACATCCTGATTTCCCATAAATGGAGAATTGTCCACCTATCTTTTTTTTTTTTTTAGGATTTGGGTGAAGATTTACAGAGTAAATTCACTTTTCATACAGCAGTTCACATATACTTTGTCTCATGTCATTGACCAAAAT